CGAGGTGCAGGCCGGAGCTGCACGAGATGCACTACAAGGCTTCAAGATCACACAGACGAATGCAATGAAGATTTCATTCGCTAAGAAATAAGCACTCAGGAAGGGTGGTCTTTGTTTCCCAACGTATAAACAGGTCTTTGTTTTTTAAACTTGCAGTAAATCTGACTGTGATTTATTCTTAGAAATTGACTTTCAGGGTTGCACGTAAGTATGTGTCAAGCTGCTGTTTTTTTATCGTGCCACATTGACAGAACTCTTTAAAAATAAAGGACAAACATATGTGAGTTTTGTATCCTTTTGATAGAAAACTTACTTATGTAGAAGGGTTTTTTTGTTTGTTTGTTTTGTTTTTTTAGCTTTACATCAAAATCCACAAGCAGCTTGATATGTCTTCTACATTTGTCATAAAGCATTGCACCCAGAGTCTGGTTTACCAGACATTGTACCTGGAGCTTTTCTTTTTTTTTTTTTTTTATAAATAAAACTGTGTTCTGAGAATGTGCTGCTCTTCATTTAAGCTGCAGTTTGAGCTTTCTGCCAATAGGTGACACTTTCTCTCCTCCTGTGTTAAACATTTTCTCTCAAGTCCATGTAGTCAAAAGGATCTCATGTTTAAACAACTTCAGCTGTACAACATGTAGAAGGAGAAACCAGCATTGAGAAAACCCTGGGTTTTTTTTGTTTTTAGAATACTAATGCTATGTGCTGCAGTCTGAAGTTAGACTGCATCTGCAGAAAATTTAGTTCTTTGGAGTCTTCTGATTATTACAAAGCATGGAAACTTTATGGGACTCCATATAATTCACCGTAGCCATCCTGCTTGTAAAATAAATGCACTGGAATCTCATTTAGTTTGTGCTTTGAAGTAGAACCTAGATCTCTGAAGCCATTTTCTTTCCCTGTATTTGGCATTATTCATTGGTATATTATTTAACGGATGGCTGGTGTTGCATTGTTGCAGCGTTTCGTCATCTGCTCCCCCAACAAATGCTCGCACGCTATTACGCCTCCAAAACTGCAGTGTTCGTGTTGAGACTGGTGTTGTTGAAATGAGATAATGAAGCTGCTAATTGAAGATGTGTGAATGTGCTTCTCAAACCGCAGTATAATTGTTTTTGTGTTCTAGCCAGTAGTAAATACCTGTCACAGATGTGAGGGTTGCTTTTGTAGAAAAAGGGTTCTGCTGCATTTCAGAACAAAGATATTATTTTTAGAGGATCATTGTATGATGAAGCAAAACATGAAAACAGACATTTGATTCTCTGGACACTTGCGTGAATATTTTGTTTTCTACTTTACTAATTTTTTTTTCGGATGAAAATTGTGCATTAAGTCACAGCATAACATTAAAACAGGAAGGCTTGTTGCTGAAAATGGGCCTCCATACAGCTGTGTAGATATTTTACGGAGATTTGATTTATCATTGAACCTAGTTTATGCAATTTCTAGTATTTCAAAAAACAAAGGGTAGGTGGACCTGAAGTTTTAGGTTGTTCAGTAGTGATAACTGGATAAACTCTATACTGGGTACTGTTAGGTACACCTTGCTAGTATCTATCCATTCATGCTATGCATTCAACAAGGTGCTGGGAACATTACTGACAGATTTTTCCATGTAGCATCACACATTTGCGACTCTCCTGGTTCATCACATCCCAAAGGCCCTCTATTGGATTGAGATCTGGTGACTGTGGAGACCATTTGAGAGCAGTGAAGTCACTCATGTTCAAGTTCATTTTCAAGTTTGAGATGATTTGAGTTTTTGTGACATGGTGTGTTATCCTGCTGGAAGAAGATGTGTACACTGGTCGTAGAGGGGTGGACATGGTCAGCAACAATACTCAAGCAGGGTGTGGTGTTTAAACAATGCTCAGTTGGTACTATGGGGCCCAAAGCATGATAAGAAAATATCCCCCACACCGTTACACCATCACAATCAAACTCATCATACAAGGCAGGAAAGATGCATGGTTCATATTATATTTACTCCAAATTCATCTGACTACTCTCTGAATACCAAACAGTTGATGTGGGTGAAATCCAATGAAATGTTTGTGAGGCAACATCCCAGAAGATCAGCAGTTCCTGTAATATTCAAACCAGCCTATCTACCGGCCACAGTGACACACCCAGAGTCACTTAATTCACCTTTCTTCCTCCTTCAGATTTTCTGTTTGAACTTCAGCAGGTTGTTCTGACCATGTCTACATGCCTGAATGCAGTGGCTTACTGCCATGTGATTGGATGATTGAATATGTGCATTATTGTATTTAATGAAGGGACGGATGAGTGTATATTTTCATTTAAGTTTAAAATGCTGTCATGTAAGTGCAAAAAAGGTTTTGCACCTGCACTCTGTAATGTTCTGTAAGTAACATAAAATTAGGTGGGTAAACAAAAGTAGGTCAGAATCATGGACAATATGAATTATTGTCTCAGTAAATTCTTATTGTCTATTTTCCTCTCAGCCTTCACATGATATGTTTGCAGACATGCTAATAAGGAGCACGTCCTCCTCTCACAGACTAGATTCAGACAGAGTGACGTGTGAATTAGGCCTGAAAGGCTTAATTTAGACTCTCACTATCAGCTGTGCCCGGTGTACACAGGGCCTCCCTGTTATGGGCTTAAACTGTGCCCTGAGTAATTGTCTTCAGGTCAGCTCAACGGTGCACACAGAAATCCACATTCTTCTGCAGTTTCCCAAGCCTTTCCACACTCCCTTATTTTGCCTTGAGAAAGCACTGACCTCAGCCACCAGGGCGCCGTGTGTGTGTGTGTGGGGGGGGGCATGATTTTGGCAACATGCCTAGTGCCTTCCCATTCACCAACACAGTAATCTTTCAGAGACTGAAAGGCAGCTTATACTTATCCAGCAGCTTATGCGTGGAAGCTGTTCCTGTCAGTACCACTTAAAAAAATAAATAAATTTTATAAATCATCTCTTAAATACTTTTAGTTTGCAAAGTATGGAAGAAATATAGTATCATCTGAATTCAACTATTTTTAGACATTGAATTTATAACACTGAATTTTTATCCTCCAAATTTCCCAAAAATTCACCTGCAAAAAATTCAACTGCAAATATTCACCTGCAAAAAAAAATCATACTGTGTAGCTAAACTTCCTAAACCTTCAGATATGTAGGCTACCTTCAGTTAAAGAGAAGCAAGTTTAGAGGATAAAATTTCGGTTTCACTTTAAAAGTTTTACCTCTATTTCACAGTTTGTAGTGTAAACAGAAAACATGGGAAGTAAAGAAAGGACGATCAGATGCATCATAAGCTGAACTGATGATATTGAATTTGCATAATCCTGCATAGTGGAGGAAAGAAAATTTGATTTCTGAGTGGAAAAATGAAAGTTCTTGTGTTTTTTGAGTTCTTTAATTTAATGTGGTTTGGTTTCAGTTAAGTAAATAACAGAAATTCAGTTAGATAGAGGTTAGTGGATATTTTAGAGCTAATGTTCTGTTTTTATGCTTATTTTCTCTGTATGGTCCATTATTTGTTTGAAGCGGATGAAACATTAAAAAAAATTATTAGACATGTGGAAATCAAATCTGATCTAAGCTCATTCTAAAGGCCCCGATGAAGCAGGTTACTTATCTATATATATATGCATTATTTATTAGTGTTACATTTTGATTAAATAACTCCTAAATGTGTTTTTTATCCTAATTTGAAATGAGCCAATGTTTTCACGGCAGTTTAAATAGTGTTAAAATAAATAAATAAATCTGCCTTTTCAAATCCTGCGCAATAAAACGCGTATTGACCATTAGATGGAGCTAAATGCACAACTAACTGCATATCCGTTATGTAGGCACCAAGAAAGCAAGTGAAAGGATTACTTTTTTTGTGACTCTTCTTCTTCAGGTGAGCCACACACTGCAACCTCTGCGCAGACCCAGTGATGCACGTGTGTTTCCGGATGCTTGGTTAGAATTCAGCTCGTGCTTCGAGGTCACTGCTTCCCCCATGCAAATCAAGCCTCTGCTCCTCAAGAGCCCTCTGTTCCGCTCCGGGGTCAACGCGGACCGCCAAGCCGCGGAAACACCAGCGGTTGTCAGGGAAGCTCTTGAGCAACAAGCCCGTGATAGACTTTAAGATTGAGAAGGGGGAGGAGGGAGAATCTCATTAGATTTTCTCTGATAAAGAAGGTGCATTGTGTGGAGGTCTTGGGTCCAACAAGACGAGAACTAGAGGACTGGAGGAAATGTGGAAAATATGTGTGCCATGTGACCGGTGCCAATATTCAAAAGATGCCTACACACCCTACAGTTCTCTTTTATATTTATGCGTTCAGCCGGTTAGTATTTGCAACCCGGCGGCTCCATTAAGCACCAGCGTGTGTGAACACTTTTCAGAGCCGCAGCTGTCGAAACAAGTTCAATCATAAAAGTGGGTTCGATTATAACGTGCCATAAGAAATCAGTCTGCAGGTGGGTGAGAATCGCGTAAGCACTTTTGCCCTGTGCGTCCTGACCAGAAGAAGCCGCTTCACACCTTTCCTGCAGGCGTGAAAGTCTGTTTGTCTTTTGTAAACAACTTTTAGTACATCATCCGCAAGAGCACGGGTGTTTTAACTAAGCTTGAAGGACAAATCGTTTCTATTCACAGGTCTGAGCAGAACTGTGAGAACAGTTCTGCCAAGCTGAGCTTTGAAGTGTTCCGTGGACTGCAGAGGTTTGAAACTGGAGGAGAGGAACCAGTGAGGCACAACAAAGGACAGAGGGGAAACAGAACACTCAGGAGAGGATAAAAGAGATGCGAAAAGCATTCAGAATACTCTCACACGTAAATATGGTATTGAAAAAAAAGAATGTTGGTCAAAGTGTGTAGAGAGAGAAAAGGGGATGAGAGCCCCGTGCGCTCTGGGAACCATCCGGACAAGGAGTGAAAGACGGATATTCCCTGCCCCAGGACACACCCTCATGCTCTCTCTCTCCCTCTCATTGTTTCCCACAGTGACTCCGTGGCCGCCAGCCTTCGTATCGGGTTTACAAATGACCAGCCAGCCGCTCCAATGACAAGAACACAAAAGTGAAATCATTCCGCCGGGGAGAAGCAACTTTGGTCGCTGCTTTGGTCTCACACTCATCAAGAAATAGGATTCATACGATTGTCCCCTCTCCATATTATCTCTGAGAGTGGATTAAGCTTTGAGAGAGACAGGAGATGAAGAGAGAGTATCAGCTAATTGGGATGTGAGTTCAAGTCAAGTGAGCCGGCAGATTGGACCCGTAAAGCCTCTTAAGGCAGGTGGTGGTGGGAGGAATACACCAAGGGGAGTGTGTGTTTGCGAGAAGCGTGCGTTTGTGTGCATGTGTCATTCCCAGAGGAAACCTGCCTTGGTCACAGCAGCAAGGGAGGGGTTGATCAGGTGTGCGCGCGAGCGTGTGTAGGTGGGTTGATTGCAGGGAGAGATCCAAGCTGAGACAGAGTTATGGTTTCTCCGGTCTGGAAGCGATGAAGTGGCTTTGCGGGAGTTTCAGGGTTTAAGACCGGCGAGGAGGAGTAGAGCTGGGCGGACGGAGGACACTTGAAGAGAGGAGTAGGAGGAGGGGGGACACCACCGCCACCAAAGCGCACAGCACGGTCCCCAGTCCCTTGATGCAGGGATGGAGAGCTCACGGGTGCACGGGATAACTCGGAAGAATCTGAGGAGCAGAGGTGAAAAGCTCAACGGGAAGCCAGACATGAGAGCCGGGCGACACCAGGGACACTTCCACCTGCCGCGGACTGTGATTTTTTTCGTCGCGCTCACGGTGCAAACGCAGGTAAGCCACCGATTAAGTGCTATTTCGGGCTGCATGCACTTAAACGCCCCACGCTGACTCGCAACTGTGGTTCTGTCTGTTTTTTAAATGAAAGCTGAGAGAAAAATACTCAGGAATAAAGTCCACGCACAGTGTCCCTTTATGCTGCCCTCTTTCTGCTCCTGCATGGCGCTGTGCCCACCTGTTGTTTCAGCCCGCTGGTGTATTATCCCACGCAACAGAGAACGACTGTAATCCAATTGTAGAAGCATTGGATGTAAATATCAGAACAAAAATCCGCCTTTGAGACAGACGGTAAAAATCACATTTTTTTTTTCTTGAATGAAAAAGAGTCAGTGTGCCACTGTTTGCCAAACAAAGACATGTCATGATAACACAAATCAATCACATTAGTGACATGTAGTCGATGAATGTGATTTATTCCATCATTTTCTGCTAAATAATGATTCTTAATCCCTTTTCATTCACTTTGGTATATCCTCGATCATTAATTGCGCATAAATAACACCCAAATTTCACACCGCACCCCTGTTAAGGTATTTTCCTTATTCACGGATCAGTAAATGAGTGAAAGCATCTTCCTTTTTAGGCTCTTTGGTTGCTGCTTTGTCCATTTCATATATTAGTAACCATTCTCAGGTGTGGTCTGATTGTCTTATTTTGCAGCCGTGCATACATGGATGGCTGCATGTATGCACGCTTTCTTTTTGGCATAACAGCAAAGTTCATTAATGACTGCGTAAATACTTCTGAGAAGGTGGTTATAACATTATGAGGACAATTTGTGGCTGTATTAAAGCTCTGGATTTTATTCCAGTGTTTTTTGGGCATGAAAGCGTAAACAAGCAAAATATTGTTCCCCTTTTCCCCCATGAGCTCTCAGGCAGCTGCTGGTCTTGTCACAATGTGTCTGATGTGTGACAGCGCTCACCAGTAGCAAGACCAGGCCCAGGGGTGCTCCGAAGCGTGCATGTGTGCACACACGTGAGTGCACGTTTTTTAAACACTGAGCTCACATCCAGCATCTGTGTCCTGGGTGTGTGTGGAGCCCGGGGCCACAGCCTCATAGACTCCGGGGCGTGTGAATGTTGAACATTCAGGCAGCTCTGCGTGCCTCTCTGTACCTCTGCAACCCTTTCACAGCTGAGGAACAACACACCCTGCTCTCTCCATTCTCCGACTGCACTGCAGTGTGAAGCACACACTCAAGATCCTTTGCATCTGCTGGTGCCCATTTATAATGCAGAGGACGGGGGATGTTTCAACCTGCAGTTCATAAATGAGGCTTCTTGACACTCCAGCGGTCCTTATGTGTTGTCTATTGTGCAACTCTCACACCGCAGTACGCAAGGCATTTATGTTTCACTAAATTAGAATGCCATTTTCAAACTGAAGCTGAATTTTAAAATGAGATTGGATGAAATTTATGTGCACATCATTTCTGTTTGAATGCTGAGCAAAATGCAATTCATAAAGTGAATCAGCGACAAGAGGATTTCGACATTTAAATAAACAAACACTTAGAAATTTATCATCCGCACAATGCTTGAAGCATCCACCCAGACAGAATTTCAGTGTGATTGAAGATCCTGACCGTGTCTTAACCGCAATAATGTGACAGTAAGAGACTGCAGTTATCAACAAATAGTTAAAATGCCTCTCACACAACACCATACATCTTGAAATACTCTATTTTGTCTGGACAGTAACTGGGAAATCAAAGATATCACAATCTCATAAGACAAAGGAATCAATCATAGACTGCTTGTTATGAATAGGGTTGCCAAAAATGCAAGGCTCGTTAAATAATCAGTTCATAAAATATCTGATGCAGTTTCACAGTGGCATTTAAAGTGCCACAGAAATATGCTTGAAATCAATGATGCCTTTCCGAAGAAACTTGTTGGCCTCGAGTACAAAGAAAGTCTTGCTGAAATGGCTCACGGCGAGCTCTGTGGAGTTCGTCGAATAGTAGCATTTGTTCCATGACAGTAGAAAAGTCAACAGATCATTTTCCAAGGCTTGAATGTCTTTAGGTACAGAGGATTGTGAGTTTTGCCCCTTAGAGAGCTTTAAACTGACGAAGCTCAGTTTCAGAGACGGGCTGAGCTTCGGCTCGGCTCACTCTCTCTCTGTTTCCCCTTCTCCCTCTCTCTCTCTGAGCGCTGAAATGCTGGTATGCAGGGAATGGCTTAGGCAGCGAGTGGAGGAGAGGAAGAAAGGAGGATGCAGAGTGATGAGCGCCACTGTATCTCCACAAGCCTTTTGATGTAGACAAGTTCACCCCACCTCCCTCCACCACCACCACCACCACCATTACCCTGCGACCCCTCCCATCTCACCCCTTTCAGCTCTGGGACAGGGTGCAGGCAAGGGACACAAAACCCAGTAACAATGGGGCGACTGAGACTGTGGCTCAGCGTTGGGCGGCCTGGCTCTGGCTAAGCAGACATATGAGAGCTTCCAGGTCTCGGTGATTGCTGTCCATGATTGAATGCACCACACCTCTGGGAATACACGACTTAGATCCTCGGCTGTAATGAGGTGTCACCAGCTCATTGTTTCAGATAGAAAGCCAAAACACTGTGAATTATTTATATTTATTCATCAGTGAGGGTTTAAGGACAAACTGATATAACAGTGGCCTTATTTTGGTGTTTGCTGTTGTTGGATAAAGCCAAAACCACAGAGAGCATCACATACACACACTCACATACACACGCAGACACACACGCAAATGCACACACGCACATACCTGACCCTTGTGCTCTGAGACTCTCAGGGGGTCTTGTTAAGTCTAGAGTGTGTGTGAGAGAGGCTGTGCGGTTTGTGTGTGTGTGTCCCCTCTTAACCCATCCCTAAACAGGGAGGGAACACAGACAAGAGAAAAGGAGGCAGATAAAAGTGAGGATGGGAACAATGTAGAAAATGGCTGATGGCTGCAGAAAGAGAAGTGACAGGAGCGTCAAAGCTTGTTCTCAGATAGAGAAACAAGTGAAGTGGAGGAGGAGGGGAGAAGAAGCGTGTGAGCAGGATCTCAGTGTCATTGCCCCCTGGGAAGGGGAAGTGAGAAATAAGAAGGGAGTGGTGGTGACACACAGGAAGACTAAAGAAAGAAAGACAAGAGCCAAAGAAAGGCGAGTCCAAAGATAAAAGCTAGTGCTGTTTAATCCCTCGGTAATTTAGGGAACATCCCTGTTCCCCCAAAAGTTGGCACGCTGTGAGAAATGTAAATAAAAACATGGTGCAATGACGCAGAATGATCATTTATTCTTTCAT